ATGGTTAAGCATCTGCCTTCGGCTCAGGTCGTGATCCCAGGGTCCTGGGATCGAGCCCCGCGTGGGGCTCCCTGCTCAGCGGGAAGCCTGCTTCTCCCTGTCCCGCTCCCCCTGCTTGTGTTCCTGCTCTCGCTGTCTCTCTCTGTCAAATAAATAAATAAAATCTTTAAAAAAAAAAAAAAAACATAAATGGTTAGGCCTTCTGTGTGATATCACACCCCAACATGAGAACCTGTCAAGGGTTGTATGTGTTGTCAGATGCTTTGTGATGTCCCTAAAGATTACAAACATCAACAGTGATAAAGCTGCAATAACAGTAGTGTGTTATTGAACACGCACTTTTTTCCAGGCCCAGTGTAAGATGCTTTAATGGATTTTCCCTCTTATTCTTCACAACGACCTCATGACAGAGTTAAGTTATTCCCGATTTTATACATGAGAGAATGAGAAGAGAAGCTAAATAATTTGCACATCACACCAGCTAGCATGTGGAGGCACCGGGAGTACATATGAACATTTAGATTTTAGAACCAGCTCTCTGAACCACCAGGCTCTGCTGCTTCCTCCTCTGATCAGTGGTCTGTGGCCATGTCTACTGTACCACAGTGGCCATCCTTCCTGGAGGTTCCTGGAGGTTCCCAGCTAAGACATGAACCCTGAGCTCATGCTAAGGGAGAACTTCCATGAGGGCTTCTTTTAAGACTAGAGATGGAGGGATGCCTGGGTGGCTCAGTCGGTTAAGCGTCTGCCTTCGACTCAGGTCATGATCTCAGGGTCCGGGATTGAGCCCCTCATTGTGCTCCCTGCTCAGTGGGGAGTCTGCTTCTCCCTCTACCCTCTGCCTCCTCCCCCCTGCTCATGCTCTGTCTCTGTTTCTCCCTCTCAAATATATAAATAAAATCTTAAAAAAAAAATACGGGGGCGCCTGGGTGGCTCAGATGGGTAAGCGTCTGCCTTCGGCTCAGGTCATGATCCCAGGGTCCTGGGATCGAGTCCCGCATCGGGCTCCCTGCTCAGTGGGGAAGCCTGCTTCTCCCTCTGCTTCTCTCTCTCTCTGTTTCTCATGAATAAATAAATAAAATCTTTAAAAAAAAAAAATACAGGGTGGAACCTTCGCCTATAGCCTTTGCTCTGCATACAGATGGAGAGAAAGGAGTCATCATTTGCCTCCTTTTTTATTTTCCCTGCCACAGAGCCTGTTAACCTAGAAAGGAGAACTTTAAACTTTAGAGTTAGGAAAATGCTGTTTTAGACATAAGATACTGATTGGTTGGTTGGCTGGTTGGTTGCCTGTTTGGTTGCTTGGTTGGCTGGTTGGTTGCTTGGTTGGTTGGCTGGTTGGCTGGTTGGTTTATAGAGCTAGCCTAAACATGATGATGTAAATCTTGAGAATTGTAGAACCTGGGCTGACCTCAGTGAGAATTCTGTTTTGTGCCAAGGTTTCTACCACCCTCCCATCCTCCAACCCAGCTTTCTATTGAAGTGTAACATGCAATGAATGATCACATCTAAAACAGAAATTTATTGTCTCACAGCTCTGGAGGCTCTAGGTCTGAAAGCAAGGTGTCATCAGGGCCACGCTCCCTCTGAAATCCTAGGGGAATCCTTCGTTGCCTCTTGCTAGCTTCTGGTGGTTTGTGGACAATCTTTGGCATTCCTCAGCTTGCAGCTGCATAATTCCAGTCTCCGCCTCATTGTCATCTAGACCCTTTCCTCTGTGTCTCTCTTCTCATGGTTTTCTTCTAAGGACACCGGTCATATTGGATTAGGGCACCACCCTACTCCAGTAGTACTTCATCTTAACTAATTATATCTGTAATGACCCTGTTTCCATTAAAAGGTCACATTCTGAGGTACTGGGGTTAGAATTTCAATGTATCTTTTTTGGGAGGGGGACATTTCAACCCAGACACCCCCATGTTCTACCCCAATCGATTCACCTTCCTCCTTCACAACGGTAACAGAGGCTTTGGTAATATGGTAATATTTATGGTAATATTTATGGTAATACTTATATTATTATTTAAATAATAACATCCCACCAGATCAATGGTAATGAGCAAGGGTGTAATAGACATTCAGTAACATTCCGTATGCTCTGCCTGGACATAGGCATGAAATTGTGGCTTTTTTGGCCCTGCCTGTAAGTACTGATTTTGATTCTATTAATTGCTATACTTTTTTTTTTTTTTTAAGATTTCATTTATTCATTTGCGAGAGAGACAGAGAGAGAACAAGCAGGGAGAGAGGCAGAGGGAGAGGGAGAAGCAGATTCCCTGCTGAGCAAGGAGCCCGATGTGGGACTCGATCCCAGGACCCTGGGATCATGACCTGAGCCGAAGGCAGATGCTTAACCATCTGAGCCACCCAGGTGCCCTATTAATTGCTATACTTGAATCAACCGACACAATATTAACATGCAGAGTCTCTCCACTTTTGCACCCAGAAGTTTCTCCTACAATCTTTAGTCAACCTTTTGCATTTTAGTTCTGTTACTCTTCTACATGACCTTACACTAATTTTTTCAAAGTATTTGATTATGGAAAGCCTTCAAGAACTGTTTTTATTTTTATTTTTTTTTATATTTTATTTATTTGTTTGAGAGGAGAGAGAGAGAGTATGAGCAGAGGGGAGGAGCAGAGGGAGAGGGAGAAGCAAACTCCTCACTGAGCGGGAAGCCAGATGTGGGGCTCAATCCCAGGACCCTGAGATCATGACCTGAGCCAAAGGCAGACGCTTAACTGACTGAGCCACCCAGGTGCCCCAATAACTGTTTTTTAAAAATGAGCATTGCTGGGGGGCACCCGGATGCTATAGTCGGTTAAGCATTCGACTCTTGGTTTTGGCTCAGGTCATGATCTCAGAGTCATGTGTTCAAGCCCTACATCAGGCTCCATGCTCAGCGTGGAGTCTGCTTGATACTCTCTTTCTCCCTCTACATGTGCTTTCTCTCCTTCTCTCTCTAAAATAAATAAAATTAAAAAAAATAAAAAAAATAATAATGGGGCGCCTGGGTGGCTCAGTCATTAAAGCTTCTGCCCTCGGCTCGGGTGGTGATCCCAGGGTCCTGGGATCGAGCCCCGCATCGGGCTCCCTGCTCCGCGGGAAGCCTGCTTCTCCCTCTGCTTCTCTCTCTCTCTGTTTCTCATGAATAAATAAATAAAACTTTAAAAAAAAAAAATACAGGGTGGAACCTTCGCCTATAGCCTTTGCTCTGCATACAGATGGAGAGAAAGGAGTCATCATTTGCCTCCTTTTTTATTT